CCGATGACGACCGTCTGGTGGGTTTCCTCTCTCTGCCGGTTCTCGCCCTTTCGGCGGCCCCGTCCGTCTCTGCTCCAACAATTTTTGGGATGGGCGGTCTCGGGCCCGGGGGGGGGGTGCCGTCTCGCCTCCGGTTGCTGTTCTCTCTCCTCTGGGGGCTGTAGTTTTTCTTAAGTTGGCAGACTTGGGCGATGTGGCCTCTTTTATTGCAGTGCTGACATATCGCATCGAAAAATCGGCACTCCGATCGAGGGTGGCCACCTCCGCACCCAGCGCATTGGGGTCCCGACTTACAACTCCGCCGATCGCGCCGGTCTCGTTCTGTCTGGAGTCGATGGATGTCCTCTTCCTCGTCCGTGGTGTCGGAACTGGAGTCGAGGTCGCCATGGTGTGTGGTGGTGGTCTCCCGGAGGCTTGCTTCGGTGCCTGTCTCGGTTGTCGTGCCTGCATCGGTGGTCGCAGTGGGTCTCCGCATTCGAGCCGCCGATTTCCGGGTCGCTTCGGCTGCGGTGGCGTCTGCGAGGACGTCGGCGAGGGCGATGTCGCCTTTTGCCATCAGTCGGCTTTGCAGGACTGGATCTCTGAGCCCTAGGATGACGCGGTCTCGGAGTGCCTCGTCCATGTCCATAAAGCCACACATGCCCCCGAGGTTCCGCAGGTCAGCCACGAAGTCGCTGATGCTCTCGCCCGCTCTCTGGTCTCGCCGGTAGAAGTCGTGCCGCCTGATGAGGGTGGGCACGGCGGGGGCATAGTGGTTTCGGAGTAAAGGCTCGAGATCGGCCCAGTCCATCATTTTCACGTCTTCGGGTTTCGTGAGGGCTTTTGCCATCTTAAACACCGCGGGCCTGCAGTGTGTTAGGAAGACGGCTCTTTTCTTCTGCCCATTCGTGTCCTTTAGGTTGCTACTTTTGAGGAACATCAGGAATCGGTCGGTGTACGATTCCCAATCCTCAGTAGCGGGGTTGAAAGGCGCTGGTGGGGCGATGCTAGCCATCTCATCGGTCTTGTTTCCTCCGGACACGTGCTTTCCGGAATCAGGCTTGGGATCCCACCTTCGTCGCCAGTGTCGTGTCCATCGCGGAAAAAGACTTGGAGCCAGTGACTTCGTTTCAGCTCTTTATTTGCTCTGAGATCGGCTTGGCTCGAAAAGGGAAAAACAGCGGCTTTTATTCTTTGGCCGCCGCGGCCAATGACACCGCTTTGAATCTCCCGCGATTAGTTTCCACCAATCGCGGGAGATTCGCGGCGGGCCAATCAGTGCGGCTCGCTCGGCCAATCAGCTCGCTGCGCGTCTTGACCAATCACCGTGCGGCGTTTACGAGTATGTAAATGACTGTACAGAACAGGGAGGGACAGTGGAGGAGCCTTGGGGAGGGGGCTGGATTGGCCAAAGCGGGGTGGGGGTGGGGGCTTGGGAAGGTCCCCCCTGAATTACAAGGTTGTGTAGTAAATCAGGAGAGATTGGTCCCCGTTTGAACCCAAAACCAGACCCAGGGATGGACAGGACCCATCTGGGCTCGCAGCTGCCCAGGTGCCACTCAAGCCCTGGTTTTAACCGGCCGGTCCTTCCGGGCTGCCTTTCCACTTCACCACCCCCAAAGCCTCCCCCGCACTGGCCCCACCTTCAGCCTTTGGGGTCTCCGGGGTTCCTGTGGGTGGATTGGAGGCATTTTATCCTGGGGGCTTTTTAACCTTTTCATCGTTTTAGTGCCATGAACTGCCGAGCATCCCTTCCCCTCCCCTTCCCCCCCCCTCACTGTTTCTGCTGGACAAGGGAGGCCGGCTGGGCGCAAGTCCTGCAGCCACTCAGGGCCCTTTGCGGGGTCTGGATCCAGAGCCCCCTTCCCCAAAGAGGCCTCAGCCAGGGTCCGAAGGAGGGTGGGGGGCTGCATGGGCCCCTCAGGGCAGGACGCCCACTGCCTGCCCAAGGCTGGCCTCCCCCTCCCAAGCCAGGGACCTCATTGCTGGAGAGCTTGCTTGCACGGAGAGGAGGGAAGAAATGGCTCACACCAGGACCTCTGCAAAAGGCCTGGGAGGGAGGGAGGGAGAGAGGGAGGGAAGGGCGGCCTCAGTGGGGTTGGCTCTCCCCCAGAAAGGGCAGCCAAGAAGTCTGGCTAGAAGCAGGGAGGGAAACTCTCCGCTGTTCATTTCTGCAGCAATGGAAAGTTCCCGTTTGGGCCGGAGCTCCAAATGAAGGTTCCCAGCAGAGAAGATGCCTCAGGTATTTACCCCAAACCTTTCTTGGCTCTTTGCAATCCCTGGAGGGGGTTAATGGCGTTGGTCCTTCTGGGCACAAGGCTCCGCCTGGCCGCCCTTGGAGAAAAGCCCCCTCTGGAGTTTCCTGCCTGAGGTTTGTAAGCCTTAGGCAATCCGAACCGTTACTCTTGTTTCGACATCCTTTGATCCCTCCCTGGCTGACTTTCCTTTCCTGAATGGGGATTCCCCTCCCTTTTGCTGCTGCTGATGCTGCTCGCTGGAGGACTGAAGTGCGGAGCCCACAAAGGTATTGCTGTGCCCTGGGACACCTGGCCCTCCCTTCCTCCTCTTCCTCCCCCCACTTCCAGTGGAGAGGGGGCACCTTCGGGGCATCTGGCGGCCCACAGGCGCCACAGGGGCATCGCCAGGGAGAAATGGGGCCAGCCTCCCTTCCCCTAACGTCTCAGCTGCCCTGGTTGCCTCCAGGCAGGTCTTCCTGTTTGAACCGGAGGCTGTTTCATCCTGGGAAGGGATAATGGTCCCACCCTGGCTGGGTTCAATGGGGGGTTGGCCAGAAGCCCCTGTGGCACCGGGAGGAGGGTGGTTAGAGGGCAGTCCAAGGTCCCGCTGCTTCAAGCATGCCCAGGGCCCAATCCAGGCCCTACAGGAAGCAGGCTGCCCACAGGTGGCAGGAAGGCAGATGGTCGGTCATCCATGATCTCCCGCGGAGCACAACAGCCGCCTGGGTGGACCTGCAGACCTACTGCTGCCGTCTGTCTGGACCCCTGCCAGGCTGCAGCCACACTATTGCCAAAGTTGCACACCGCTCCTCGGCCTGTCTTGCCAGGTGCTGCTCTCTGGGTAGGGCGCAGGTGCTGCTGGCGAGGACGGTTCATCCCATCCTTGGCCTGCAGTGGCACATGGGGCCTATTTCTTAGTGTGGGAGGCAAAATGGGCTCAGAGGCCTGACGTCTCCTTCTCTCTTGCAGACCCTCCCGCAGACCCTGCGGCTGCCCATGATTGCTATGCACCCCGCTGGAAGCGCTCCCGGTGCAGCTCAACCCAGATTTTGTTCGGGCTGCTGTGCGGCCTGGCAACCCTCTTGGTTCTCAGCTTCCTGGCCAGCCTCCGCCGTGAGGACCCCCTCTCGCTGGACCCCCGGATGGGGAGCGGTGTGGGGGAGCAATACACAGACACTTTGCTCCAGCCTCCCCCCAATGCCTTCCCGCTTTCCCCATCGCCCTGTGCCCTGAACGCCCCCTGGCTACTGGTGCTGGTGGCCAGTGCACCTGGGCATGCGGCCCGGCGTGCGGGGGTGCGGCGCAGTTGGGGGGGTGCGCGGGTAGCAGGGGGGCACAGTGTGCACACGGTTTTCACAGTGGGGCTGCCGGGAGATGTGGCACAGCAGGCAGCACTGGAGCGCGAGGCGGCCGAGCATGGGGACCTGTTGCAGGCGCGCTTTGCCGACACCTACACAAACCTAACCCTGAAGACACTGGCAATGCTGGGCTGGGCCACCACCCGTTGTCCCACCGCCCGCTTCCTGCTCAAGACCGATGATGACGTCTTCCTGAACCTGCCGGCCCTGGCGCGACACCTGGAGCAGTTAGCCAGCCCACTTGCTGCTTATCTGGGCTATGTCTACTCACACAGTGCACCCATCCGCAA